GAGGTAAAATCTGTCTTCAGATCTTTTTCTGGCAATTTTGTACCAAATTAACTGAAAATATTAAACCATTACATTAACAGGCCATGCACTATCGTGCTTGTGTAATTGAAGGAGTAAAATTCTTCTGAATCAAAATTTCGGAAAAGAAGTGAATGGTATGTTCTGAGCAATTATCTGCTTTTTGAACTGATTGTGCATTTTTGCATCAATGGGAGGATGAAGTCAATTCCTTCGAAAATAAATAAATTATAGATTTTATGACTCATAGGAAATGTGTCCTTGATGATGCTTGAGCTTAGCATAAACTACCTAGCAAGTTACATGTATATTCTTAAAGCATTTTATATTAAAAGAATGAGGAAAAACCTTTCACAATTACTTAGGTCTCTTCCTCAGCCATGCCAGTTTCAAGAATAGCAGAACATTTTGCTCACCTGAAAACTATCATAGGGTCCTAAACATCTGAAGTCGTGATTTAAAAGACATAGGTGTTAGTAGAAGTGATATAGTCACTCTATTTTCCCACTATTTATGACAGATACATTTTCCCCGTAGATTTACAATCAAATGACTGCACAGTCCTCTGATTATTAATTCTGCTAGAAAAGAAGAAGGAGAAGATACATTTCCTCCATAACGTAGTTCCTATAACTGTGAGAGCATCTGTGACTCCATTCCTTGCAAAGCATACCCCTCATGCCTACTGTGGAAATAGCCAGTAAATCCATGTTCAAAGGCAGAACTCCTTTCCTCTCATCTCTTCTTTAACCTGATCCTTATATTTTCTTCTCCATGGAGCAGAAAGCCCACTATTAAAGCTCCAAAAGGGACTTCTTGATCCTGGAAGAGAGAGAGAAGAAAATGGACAAATTGTCCTTCAAAAAACCATTCTTGATCTTTATTAATTTATGTTCAGTTGAAGTGTCTGGGGACAACCACTTGGGTCTGGGATGAACTTCAGTTTCAGGCAGCTACTCCCTGAGGTCCTCTTTCCCTGATGCAGAGTGTGTTTTTGTTTTGCTGAGCTCACATGTGTAGCCTGAACCTTTCCCAAGAAGTTGGCTGTGTTAATAAGGTGTATAGCTGGTCCTTCCCCTGCCTCTGCCTCACACACTTTTCTTCATACTTGGAGGGGGCAATCACTTCTATCATCCTCTGCTTCTGGAAACTGCATTGAAATTTGGCTGTTCCCCTGCAGTTCTGTTTTTGGGGATGGGTAGTGGATGTTCTTTTGTTGCTTAATGATTAAAGAGCAGATAGAGAAATCTTAACAAAGTCTACATTAATTCTCAGTAGTTCAAGCAGCCTAAAAGCAATTATATCTTTTGGACACTCATTTGTAAGGTGATTGTCTTCATCTGCATCAGCAACAGGGAATGGATATCAGTTCAGTCACTGTAACAAATATTCATAACTGGTTACACTGGCCCTTAGAAGGGATATGTGACCTGTGAGCTATAAACAGTCCTCACTGGGAAATTTTGTAGAACTAAATCAAATAATCAGTTTTTTTATTTTGTATTGTTGTCTGTATGGCATGCTCTGACTAGGTCTTTCTGCACAGCTTCCCTTGGAACTAATGGAAGCCATATGTGCAGCAGAGAAAAATGTACTCATAAAATTATTTTCCTCATCTTAACACTGTCTTACTTCCTTCTTTAGGCACCTTAACAATGAACATGCATTGGATGACAGAAGCACTGCTCAGTGTCGGGTGCAAATGCAAGTGGTTCAGCAGTTAGAAATACAGGTTTGTTATATGGAGGCATTATCCTATTACTTATTTACTGTTAACCTAAACTAAATTGAAAACACTTGCCTTAGTGACTCTAGCTTAAAGACATATGTTTCTTACATTAAATTTGTTGATATTCATGAATAAGTGAGGGTTTTTTACTTAAAGATTTTTCACATTATAAATTATGCAATAATTATCTAACATCAAGATTGTCTACAGTATTTTGCTTGAACTAAGACTCTAATGCTATTCATCACAAATGAAAAACGCAGTCCTTGGAGCAAAGACTGGATCCAAGCCATCTTCACTTTTTAAAATGCTGGGTCAGAACCCCTCTTCCTTCTTCCCCTTCTGACCCAGTGTTTGTCTGTGCTGTTCTGTGGGATAAAAGAGCTGCAGAGCATATCTCCACCCAAAATGACTCCCAGCCTGATAGGGGCATTTTTCTGCAAGCAAGAAGGTGTCCTTTCAGACCCATTCAGGAAGGTCCCCAGGGAATGCCATGCCTCAGACCGCCGTGCATGTGCCCTGTGCATGCTGTAACCATTAGAGGTCACTGCATGTATGTGAATGCTCCCTTCTGCTTATGCAGGGAGTGGTGAGTACCCCTGGGGTCTCCCAGCATTGTGACAACACCTACAGGCCGCTGAGCTTGGGCACAAGGCTCAGGGGTGACCGTGCAGGACACGGGAGCACGCTGTCTCCTCCTGCCCACACAGCAGTCAGGGGGGGCATGCTCGGCAGTCCCGTGCCCTCTTGGGACTGCTCGGAGGAGCTCAAGGGATGCAGCAAGGGACCAAGGTTTTTGTCCCTGTTTCTTGCCATATGTAGAGAAAGAAGGATAACAACTCTCACCTTTCTCACCAATATTTTTGGAATATTGTCTCACAGTTCTCTTTCACGTAAGAATACTTATTCCTCTTTCAGCCGAGGCTTTTTTGGATCTTTTTTACTTTAATGCTGGAAATCCAAAACAACGAGAGGAGCATGCAATAATGCAATTGGTTGTCATTTCCCTTAAAATGAATGATTTTTAAACCCAGGTAAAGCTGCTATTTCTTTTATGTTATTTACATGGTAGCGTTAGCTTAATTTGTTTGTTAGGAATTCATGTCGTGGCAAATATTGTGTCACTAAAACATCACACACAGGGAATGAAGCTACACATATTACGAAGAAGAAACCTTCTTCACACCCCTTGCCTCAAATATTTATTAATAGAATATGCACTGCTGAAATTAAATACCTGCAGTACTAAAGATAGTTCCCTCTTCTAAAATTACTTGCAAGTTGTCCAGTCCTTTGTCCAGTCTCAGTCTACAGGTGTAAGAGCAAGAACTCTCTGGAAAATAGTAGTATTAAACACCAAGTTTAATTCTTATTGCAACTAATGTTGAAATCATGTTTCAGGTAGCCAGAGCCAAGCCACTAGAGTAAAATTTTGAACATTTCTTCTTGTAAACTAGTTTGTGAAAAAAAGAAATCTTTTCCTACTGTAAAATACATTTTCTGCTTTTATATTCTGCTATTTTTATCAACAAGTTGCATATTTCAAGCACTTCCTCCTGTTTCATTTTTTTCTTTTAATTTGGTACCTTGTTTGATACCTGAAGCTACAGTTATTTACATAATATATGATCTGAAAATGGTATCAGTTAGGAAAAAGTAGAGGTTTAAGTAATATAATGTTTTTTGAAGGCAACGTAAAGGCTTCATAGAAATTGTTTACCATTTACAAAGGCTAGGCTGTAATCTAACAGTTGAAGTGAAGATTTAGCTTGCAGTGTGACCAATTATGCCATTTTTTGCTTTGTCTGACTGCCAGCGAAGTAGGGTCCATCAGTTGTAATGAGACCCAGTGCAGTGTCGATGCCGACTCGATGGCAGAGTTCAGTGTTTCACACTGCCTGGGCTCTGTCACTCTATTGAATTAGATTGATGATGGCAGATTGCAGGGGGCACTAACTGGACCTCAGTGGGAAAGGATGAAGTGTGTAGTCAATCCTGGCAGGCACTGTGCTTTGAGGACCCTTCACCCCTTCACAGCTGTTGGCACTAGTCCATTGCTAACAGTGTCCACAGGACTTTAAAGAGACACTATGGGCCTTCTAATTTATGGTCTTAGTAACTTGTTACTGTCGAGGCAACTGTGACCTCAATTCTCTTATTGACAAAAAGATGAAGTGCTATTTGTTTTCTCTGACCTTTTAACATATGAAAGGCTATAAAAGTTTTTGTTGGGCTTTTTTCCTTTCTCTTTCTTTCTTTCTTTCTTTCTTTCTTTCTTTCTTTCTTTCTTTCTTTCTTTCTTTCTTTCTTTCTTTCTTTCTTTCTTTCTTTCTTTCTTTCTTTCTTTCTTTCTTTCTTTCTTTCTTTCTTTCTTTTCTTTCTTTCTTTCTTTCTTTCTTTCCCCAAAGTTGCATTTCCTCTCAGATAAGTTTCTACTGACACAGACTTTTATATGCAGGAATCATTACACCAAGACAAGCTCAATGATAAGATATATCACTGCAGTGAAATAGCTGTATCAGTCATTTCTAAAATGCTTCTGATCCCACTCTTTCTTAACAGCTTTCTAAAGAACGCGAACGTCTTCAAGCAATGATGACCCACTTGCACATGCGACCCTCGGAGCCCAAGCCATCTCCAAAACCTGTAAGTGCATATTGCTTTATAAACAGTAAATAGGTCTACGAATGTAGCAGGCTAAGAAAATGAACAATTTAGTGACAGTTGGAAAACAATGAGTGTGATGAAAAATATGGCAATAAAATGAAGGTAAAATGCAATATCTTGTCAAATTGTATGTTTCTTTAAAAGTAATGCTATCTTTTGCAAAATCTATCCAATCTACGCCATAGGTGACACTAAACAAAGTACACCTATAAGTGTCCAAATCATTGCCTTGAGACTGAAACTAGAGAGAATATGTTTTTGTGATAAGTTTAGAGATATTAAAAGGAAATCCACTTTGAAAGATTTGAAGTTCATTGACAGTAGAAGTAAATGTAACATGAATCTAGGTACTTAGGAAATTTCGCAAATTGCTTACAACAGACACAAGTAAACAATTTGTTATTCTTAAGTGAACAAAAATGTTATTTTATGCAGTGAATTGAAATAATTGTAAACATGGGGAGGTGTTGTGTTCATATTTGGCAAGACTGTATTGTTATGCATCCACTATGATGTTGTTGGGGTTGGTACGGGCACTGAAAAGTCACTGTTGCTCCCGGCCACTCCACAGTGCTGCATTGGGAAC